CGAATTTTCTACCTGAGCACGACAAAATATAAGTTTGAGAAGCATAATATTTAAACATAAAAATTACCGAATTTCATAGTATGTATTTAAAAACCACTTCAACGATATTGACACCACCGCACGTACTATTTTCTAAATAACTTCGCTTGTGGTATAGCACTTAATACACAATGTGATAAAAAATCTCTCAAAACTCGATACCTGGTAGGTACATTTTGTGTTATCATTCAAATCTTCAGACGTCAAATAGTATAACTGTATATGGTATTCTATCTGCATCTACAGTAGTGCAATTCTATCTGAAGAGTTTTGTTTAGTTTTAATATATAATATAAAATTATTAATTAACATGAAATTAATTTTTTTTATATAATCAAATAAAATATATTGTATATAATATAAAATTCTCGCATAGATTCCATTTCGTATTTGTCTAACACTTCGCGAATTATTTTTACGCCAAGTCGTAGCATAACATTACATTTTTCATACAACCGCTATACCTAATCGCTTAGCAAATCTTTAGGGTTAGAATGATATGACAAAATAATTTAAAGGTATTGTAATTTCATAATCAGAAATGAGATTTTAACGTATTTTAGCGGTTTGAATCACAAAAAACTGGGTGCGCGTTGATTCATCCGTGCATTGTTATCTGGACAATACTACGGTGGGTACATAATGAAACGGCTGAGTTCCTGCAGTTTTATTCAGTTGAGGCGATCAAAACTACATAGTTTTTCTACTGTTGTACTTTCAGAAATGTCTTCTTAGTCTATTCATGCTTTTGTGGCATTAAAATTGTAGTCAGACAGATTATTTTATTTTACGTAAATATATTACAAAAACAAAACAAAACGTGACACAGGTAGTTCTCAAGTGTTCCGGCACTCCAAAAGATATTTCTTTCAGATGGATGATAAAGCAATACATACCTACATAGATATGTCATGGTTTATTTATCATTCAACCGAACCAACAGCAAATTCAATCTCTTGTTCGTTTGTTGACAGCCCTGTTCGTGACGTACGGAGTCCGTTGTATGTAAAGTTAGATAACGCCTTCATTTTCTAGGTACGTAAGATATTTACATAACGGAATCTTCGAACGTCATTTTCACCGAATTCAAGAAGTCCAATTCTGTCTACTCTGACCAGCATCAACAGGAAAAAAATGATGAAATAAATTGTTAGTTCGATTTTATATCTTATGTAAGTACAAATGGTGGTGAATATTTAAAACATCTTTGTATTTAATTTTTTTATAAATATTCCACAATAATTTCACTTTAAATTTTAACTTTCGTGGATTATGTTTATTTATACTTTTATGTATAGATTTAAACAACAGTACAACCGAAACTTGAAGTCTTGACTTGCACTGGCATCGATATATTACCACTGGTTTCAATTCGTGGTAATATATCGATGTGCACTGGTGAGAATTAAGATTACCGTCGCCGCGTCGAGCTGAACTTTCTGTTCACTAACTTTGACTGACTATAAACTGATTCAATAAATAAGTATATAAAGGGCTCAATGATCTTATGCAAATATGGTAAAAAAGAAAATGACCCAAACAAGAGAGTTATCGTCAATTTTTACTGGTGGTAGGATCTCTTGTGAGTCCGCACGGGTAGATACCGCCTCCCTGCCTATTTCTACCGTGAAGCAAGAGCGGATCCAGTTTTGGCGCCAGGAGGGGGTCACATAGTCAAATTTTCGATCCGTTCATTCCGCCATCATACAAAGTTATTATATTATATTAAATTAATTAAATATTGAAGGTATGTAGTTACATAAAATCTGTATGGTGACAAAATATATAAATAAAATCATTATGTTCAATTAGTGGTTCACCTAAGTCTTGGAAGCAGCTCAGGGGGGGTCATGACCCCCATGACCCTCCCCCTGGATCCGCCTTTGCCGTGAAGCAGTAATGCGTTTCGGTTTGAAGGGTGGGGGGGCAGACGTTGTAACTATACTGGGACCTTAAAACTCATATCTCAAGGTGGGTGGTGGCATTTACGTTGTAGATGTCTATGGGTTCCGGTAGCCACTTAACGCTAGGTGGACTGTGAGCTCGTCCACACATCTATGCAATATAAAAAAAAATGTGAGAAATATAAACAGTAATTACCACCGAAATAAATCAAGGTATTATTTCTGTGGTAATTACTAATGATCTTCTATTACTCATCGGATACGTTACAGGTATTTAAGCGTGTTTTTATTATTTATATCTGTTATGGTGTAAATAGGCCTCGCTTCGTGCACTAGAATCAAATAATAAAAGCTCATAAGTACTCACCGGCGTAAATGGGTATCTCACGGTCCACAAACAGCGCTGAAAGCTGGCAACCTAAATTGCATATCATCTACTCTACAATCCACAACTTTTTTGCTACACTGAATTAATAAGAGCCGTGATGATACTATACTTTTTTGTATGATGTAATAACATGTCCTATGATCAATACCTAAAATAGGAATTATGATCATACTTATTGAAGCATTATGTACAGTTAAGAACTGTATTGACCAATATAGCAGGCGTAAACTGTATTAATTACACACTAGTGAGGCGTAACATAACAAATAAGAGACAAACATATTTAAAAACAAATTAAAGAAAATTTGATGTTTTCTTTCGAGTTGGTTAACAAAGGCCACAGACAGTAAAAATCGTATTCAAGAAAGAGAAGACTTAAAGTGTACACAACAGTTTTGTATTTTTTTCTTTAACTGCTTTCAGTCTAAAATTTATCGTTTGCATTCCTTTGACTTGAATTTATTATAATCATTTAATATACTGGTTGCTTAGTTTGTATGAATTGTTGATATTGTTGTAGTACGTATAGATAAAAAAAAAAACTTTACAATTCATTATTTTTGTAATTTTTTCTTTTCGCGACACGCTGTATATAGAAATCATCTAAAAAATTCTCACAGTTACACGTGAAAAACGCCATTGTATTTCTTATCAAAGCCTACATTGTCCTTGCTCTTGCCTATCGATACTACTATCATTGAAGTTTCAATAGATAAATATTAGATCAAAAGATTACAGACAGTAAAATGATATGAAGACAAAATCTACAGCAGAGGGACATTTTTCAAGAACATCTTATCTAGAAATTATGTAAATACATATACAGTCAAAACCGTTTACTGCGACATCGGTTAGAACAACATGCCGGTTATAATAACCTAGAACAAAGGTCCCGGCTGAATGCTATATGACCGCCTTATTAAAAACATTGCTTTATACGACATTGCTTATAACGACATACCTCATAAAACGACCACATTTAACAAATATTTCGGAGTATTAGATCTGTTAGAACGACCGGCTAAGCTGTATTGTAAACAATTTGAATAGGTATCCACTTTTGTCTTCAATGGCTATTAAAATCAGGAAAGAAAACAATAGGATTTAGTTTGGTGTAGGGTCTTTTCTAATTCTTAGAAACAAAACACGTGCATGCAGTAGAGTCAACGACCGCTTCTTCATATCTCTTCAGTTAGTTTATTACTTATCTATACACAGGACGCACCAAAACTTTGTGGAGTTATTCGTGAAACTTTCAAAAGGTCGCAAAAAAAAAGAAAACAAATTAATATTGAAGAAAAATTGCGTATTATGTAAATATATTTTTCCAATAATTCCCTATCGATTTGTTTGTACTTGCACGATACACATTAAACATCACCGGTTGTTACGACTATCGGTTTTTACGACTGAATATGAGCAGTCCCTTCGATGTCGTTATAACAGATTTTGACTGTATTGTGGTAAGATCGAAAGATAAAAACGACGTAATTTTCCAGGAAATATTAGCTTATAATTTAATAAGTGCAGATCACTCAAAGCCCTTTAAGACTAAGGTTTTCTTTTTTTTTATCACATAGAATCTACCTATGGTAAACTTTCGTACCATTTTTTTTTAAATGACGTGGTAATTTTTGTCAAGCGTCAGTGATCTCCGTGCAGAGAATATTAAAATAGGATTTCTTTTACACAAGTGCTGTATGTTATAGCTGGATTATATAAATACAAAGAATAACACCATTAGTTACGATACCCAAGCCTCTTTAACATAAATATGTACACCTAATTATTTAACTTCCATCAACACAAAGTTTCCAAAATAATTGAATTAAGTTAAAAAAATACTGCGGATAAATGACAAAATTTTGTTGTGAGTAAATTGTTCTGTTTTGTAAAATGTGAATCGTTTGATTTTGATTGATCATCTATACATATAAATAAAATTGGAGTGTGTGTTTGTAATATTGAAATAGCCTCTTTTTACTACGTGCATATAACATAACAAAATAACATTTTTTACAATTTTTGTCTGTCTGTCTGTCTGTTTGTTCCGGTTAATCTCTGGAACGGCGCGACCGATTTTGACAGGACTTTCACTGATGATTTAAGGAGTAGTTTAGGCTACTTTTTTTAGACTAGCTTCGCCCCGCAGCTTCACCCACGGTTATTGTCGTATTGGGACATCACGGAACTCAGCTATCAATAATCAATAATAAAAATTAATGTTTCCGAAGCGAAGCGAGGGCGGGTCGCTAGTATATAATAATATCTGTCGTCAGATAGTTCACGTCAGTTAAAGTATCTTCGCCTCACTTGATCTTGGTCAGAGTCGGTCGCTTTGTTATTGTTGTTTGACATTCGGGACCTAGGTACACTTGTTGTGGTCTAGCATTTGAATCATCGTGCATCTATGACATGATGAATCCTAAAACGAAATGGCTTGACTGTAGGCATCGATTTAGCTGTACCCCTGGCTTTACTGAGGTCTATGAGCGTCGAGGACCACTCACCATCAGGGGGGCCGTGTGCTTGTCCGACCGCAAATAAAAATCATCTATTCATACATTTGTTTATTTTTCCTCTCCTCTTTTTTTTCTAAAATACAAATAAAATAATCGATACAGCATTAAAACAAATAATGAGGAAATGAAACCAGAAAAAAAACTTCATTCAGTTAAATTATTTAATTTCACGCCATACATTTCATAAATCACAATTAAATTCATTACAATCACAGTATAAAATCAGCAATTTTACAATTACATATTTGAAAAATTAAATTCGATAATAACATTTTGATAACTATGATATTTTAAGCGATTGATATATGCATAAACTTTAGTTATAAGTATATTTACAAAAAACAAACTGTCTTCTTGAACATATTTTAGATAGAACAGCAAAATGTAATTAAAAAAAAAACCTCTGACATCTATGCTTTCATTTTTTATACAATCATGAATATTAGTTTATTTTCTTCATATTTTTTAAACCATGTAGGAAACGTTCCTTTTTTTAAATTGTATTGCTGTCTTTTCTATCCTACTACCAGGAAAAGAGCGCGAAAGAAACAACTATGTTTCGGTTTGAAAGTATGTAAAAATTTGAAAAAACTATTACTTTATGTTTTTTTAAGAACTATTTTTTATTTTATCACTACATGAAAGAGCTCTTTCGTGTAGTGATAAAATGCTTTTTGCGGATGCCTAAAAACGCCAAAAAAGGGTCCAATCTGGTAATTCTAGAAGATTCCAAATTTTTATATTACCTAATTTATGAACAAAAAATTTATTATAGTAGCAGCAACACGATACAGGTGAAAGTTTTGAAATCGTCGTGACCTAAAAGGATAAGACGCCTGGTGTATTTTAACGGTGATCCGACTGTACCCCTGTTCGAATCCTGCAGGCAGGTACCATTTTTTTTAATGAAATACGTTAGCACTTTACAAATGACTTCCACGACGGGGGGAAAATATCGTGTAATAAAAATTAATCCCGAAAAAAATAATTATGATTTGCGTAATTACTGATAGTAGGCCGTCTTGTGAGCCCGCATGTATTTATCCAGCGTATCTCTAGTAAATGTGCCGTAATGCGTTTTGGTTTGAGCGGGAAACACGTTGCTCTGTAAAACTGAGTCATAGAACTCGTGTCTTAAGGTGGATGGTTAAATTTACGCTGTTTTAATTTCTATGGGCTCCGGTAACCACTTAACACCAGATGGGTCTTGGAGCTCGCCTACCCATATAAGCAATAAACAAAGATGGAAGTAGGTCATATGGTATAAAAATGATTTAACGACATTATTAAGGCTGAAAACAAAAGAAATAAGTTTGCGCGCTCACGCTTGTGCCTATAATTATCAGAGTTTTTTGCATTAAGTTATTTCTTCACATCGATCTAGGTAATTTAAGATACCACATTTTGTTAATTTTGTGCTTGGACAGCGTCTTAAAATATTTGTCATAAATAATATTTAATTATTATTGTTTAATCCTAAATCTACATTAAGTCCTACATACTTATTATTGAAAATATACTGACAAATTTATCTGTCCGATTTTAAAATTTTGATTCTAAATAAAATACAAAAAAAATATTTAAATAAAAATTCATTTACACTTCTATCACAAAATCAATCACGCGTGTCAAATTAAATTCTCGACATTAGAGCATAAAAGTTCTATTCTTAACGACTTTTCGTCGAAATCGTTTTGATACGCTAGAACCATTTCAGAATAAATATGTTCAAATCATCGAAATCCTGACTTTATTGCTTTAATGTCGAGAACAGTAAATTGAAATTAGTTAATAGTAAAATTCACTAAGAATATATTTTTTATTTATTTACACTGGTAAATTATTATTAATCGGCGTTCTGAAATGAAATACAGGGTGTTCCCGAAAACTAAGATAGATAGATAAACGGACATGAACTCTGAGGATACCTTAAAATGACATTCTAAAATCGTCAGGGTTTTAGAATTCAAGTTCAGACTGGGCACAGAGCGGCCATATTCATATGAATAGAAAACGTACCTCAAAACAAGCACAGGTAGAACTGGAGTTTCATAATACGAGAGCACGAAAATTAAGTACTAAGTAATATCTTGTACTGCTTTTTGATTTGCACGCAATGCACTACAATTTGCAATTGATTGACGTGTCAGCTCTACGGTCTTAAGGAAACGCGGGCTGCCAGGTTCCCAGGTTAGTAGTTTAGTATACATTTATCTTTAGAAACGGTGTACACCCTGACTAATTTTACCCGAAATCTGGAATGTGAAACTGAGAATGAAGAGACTAACTCAGTAATACTTTGCTTGCCAGTTAGATATAGCCGTTACAGACAGACATTCCGGACATCAAATCCTATCGAGCTTGTTCCAAATTATATGACAAGTATAAGCAATCGAGGCTTCACTTTTGAAAATGATAAATTCTTCGACATTACCTCTTTTTTTCTGTTTCTGAAAGCACCATTTATCAAATTTGAAGTACGTAGATGGATTTGTGTTTCTGTTTCAATTTATTTTCGATACAATGGAAATGGGAGATATTAATAATGAAGATATAAAACAACGGTTCCTGCTCTAAATTGGTTATACGAAAAGTATAGGGACGACATTACAAAGCATAAGTTGATAGATTTTGTTGGTATCATGCAAGCTGATTTTCGCGGAACTCAGGTCAATAGCTGGCAAGAGGGGCTCATAAAAAATAAGGAAGTATTTCGTTTCGGAGGTCAAATTCCGATTCGCGTCACCGAGACAGCTCACAAAATAACTATAAAAATAAGAAGTTCATAACTATCAAATATGAATAACAAGTTAATGATCTTACTGCGTCTTAAATTTAATCTTAATCTAAATATTTACTAAAAGTTTATGTTTTTGGAGGGATCGCGATGGTTGTCTCGTTGGAGTCGTTGGGCCGTTTGTCTTCTTCCTCTTCAACAGGCGCCACGTAATTCCAAGATTGAGTGTCACCGGTACCGAAAAGTATGAAATACCCGGCCGAAGCTATGTACAATGATGCTCCTGTTATGAATACTGGACGCCATTCAGCAAATCCATTCTGTAAAGGAATATTAAAAAAATATAAGATAATCTGTCGTATACCTTGAACCATGGGTGAGGCGCCGGTCCGAAGTACCTTATTGTGGATACGCCAAATTACCAACCCAAAAGCAGGCGTGAATATCTATATAAACTATATACCAATCTATATGTGTAATTACCTCAGCGTATTCGCATTAAGGTTATAGACTTATATGGATTGACAATGAATAAAAATAATAAAATCAACGATTTCCACATGTAATGAGTTCTCGATATTTCGGCGGTGTTTCCAAGCGTCATGATCACGGGTGGTATCTATTGTGAGTCCGTTCGGGTGTTTTCAGCCTCTTGTGCTTTTCAACCGCGTAGCGATTTATACGCATTCTGCTTTGAAGAGTTAGAGTATACTACAAAACTGAGACTTCAACCTTAAATAGCAAAGGGGGTGAGGTGATGTCACGGACACTGTAACATTTTAGATCCAACAACCCACTAATGACAAACCAACTGGGCCATAGAGTTGTTTTACTAATTTGTAGTTAGTTGGGAAAAACCTGTTTATACAATTTTGAAATATTTGAAAAATATTATCGACTATTATCGAAATAGAATTACCCCGTTCTTTGTGAAGTGCGCAGTGACCAAAGGAGTAACAAATCCAGCAGTGTTACCGATTCCATTCGCAATTCCATAGAGGGTTCCGGCAAAGTTCGGAGCCAGATCCTGATGGTTGACCAAGTTGGTGAGTGTGGCCGCACCGTTAGAGCCCATTGAAAACGTGATAAGAACAACAGATAAAATAGGAGCACATCCCGTATAGCCTAAGGCTATGAGTAATAATCCAGGAACGACATGGGAGAACAGACAGAAGAACTTTCGCATGAACGTTGTTGATACCACGTTTTGACGAACGATTCTGAAAATAATAAATTCAGATGTTACTAGCTAAAATAATACACATTTAAGATAGTTATTTAAATTCATACTAGTTTTTTACCTAACCTAAGCCTACCTAACCTACCTAAGCTGAGAGCCTTGAGAGGCTATTTCAGCGTAACCTTAACTAGTAGGCGAGCTCACGGCGCTCAAACCTGACGACGTTGCTAACACGAACCCTAGCAGGAGCCGTGCTTCGCAGAACCTAACAGCGGATCGGAAACGCGACCCACTGAGAAGATCCGGCGAGAAACTCAGCGGGCTGTGTCTGAGGGTTAATTTATTCGTCGAGTCCTTCGTCGCAAGCGACGGGTTCGACGAGAACGATGACACATACTAGTGTTATTAATCTAAATGTATAAAAGTCCATGTCTTTGTGTATCTTCTTTGTAAAAGCAAAAATCCGAAACGACTAGAATATTTTTTTTATTGCCCTTGTAGGCAGACGATCATACGGCCCACCTGATGGTGAGTGGTTACTGTCGCCCATGGACTTCAGCAATGCCAGGGGCAGAGCCAAGGCTTAGCGGGCGATCCTGTGAGAAGGATCGCTGCCATCGAATCAAAGATCGGCCAACAAAGCAGGTCAGATTTCACTACTTGCTTTATAAAGGTAACAAACATATAAATACAACATACGTACATATTAAATCAAACTTTAAACAAGACTGTTTTGGTATTACCTGTCTCCAATAGCTCCGAAAACGAGTGAGAAGCACATTCTTGCTAGATACGGTAGCGAGGACAAAGTTCCGGTCGATGTCAAGTTAAAGCCTAAAGCGCTGGAGACGAACTTAGGCGCTGCAGTCATCACGAAATACAAGCCCCAATTGTTGCCGTAATGCAGGATCACCATTGCCAAAAAGGGGAACGATGTAAAGATTTTCTTAAACGGTGGTACGAACTGTTGAAAAAAACTGTGCTTAAAAAAGGGTCCACGGGTGGTATTCAGTGGAAATTGTCATTGAAATTGATTTATTTGTCTCGCGCATGATCATCATTGATGGTATGCCAGAAACTGTCAATGTAAAATAAAATAATAATAATAATATAAAATAATAATAATAAAAATCAACAACGATTGTACAAAATGCTAACCCAGTCCTTTGTATGTATAGTTTAGATAGCATAAAATAGATATCAGAGCAGACGAATAAAAAAAGACACACAAATATTATTCTAAAATTATTTTCGTAGTGTTTTCTGTGTTTTATCCTGTTTTTATGTTATAAATGATATTATCAAGAAGAATTATCAAGAAGAATTCACGTTTTATTTGCCAAAACGATCACGAAATACACGTTTCGTTAACGTGCTTAAAATTCTATCTGTAAGCGGCTAGGCTATCTCAATCATGAATGTTTTATTTAAATTATGTTATGAGACAAATTACAAGGTCTAATGTTTTGTTTTGCAAACAAAGATCAGTAGCTACTTTTCATGTAATTTCATCCATACTATTGATGACAATATCAACAATCCATCTAATAATGCATTAGTAATGTTAAGCGACACCGATTTTGCTTTTTACACGCTTTATATTAGCTTCACTTGTATGTATGTTTGTATGATTGCATGTTTGTAACTGACTCCTTTAGACGCGATTTTGACCCACTTTAAACAGCCAGATTTCATTCAAACTTTGTAGATTTATCGAGGACCGATGACAATACACTAATTTGATAAGATTATTCCATTATTCAATTTGCAAAATAAGATTTTTGCCAATTTATATAATCTTTATCTATAGTCGATAAGGCAGGAATTGATGTTAAAGTACTTAATAGTTTTGAAAATACGCTTTTATAGAAAATTTAACTAAAAAATGAAAAATAAATAATTATTTAAAAAACACGCTTTATATAAAATCAACTGAAAAATAGAAAATAAATTTTAATAAATTTAAATTGAAATATTTTTAGCTTTTTAAGATATTATTGAAATAATAATTCTTCTACTCATATCTGTCAGAAAAATATAACAAATAACACCATGCACCCCACGCTTTTTTTACAATAAAATATATTTTACACTATTTCCAATTTAAATTTATTTAAATTTATTTTCTGTTTTTTAGTTGAATTTTATATAAAGCGTTTTTTTTAGTTTTTTTAAACTATTATTTTTATCAACACTAATAATAATAAATATAACACCGATTTTGAATTAACACTTTTCAAAATAAAGAAAAAAAACAGAGCTAATATCTAAAACGAAACACTTAAAAATACCGATAGAGTATATTGTAATTCTTTTTTATGTAGGAGTTATTACTGGTGGCCCGAAGTCCTTTCCAGGATAGGTGGGCGAGCATAGGCTCAGCCAGGAGCGGTGGGATTTGCTAACAAGTGCCCGAGCACCTCCGAAGAAGACCTAACCGCTCAAGGGCAGCTACTTCGTGAATGTATTACTACCGGATTGGAATCACGATCCGTTGAGAAGATCTGGCGAGAAACTCAGCGGGCTGTTGTATGGATTGGGTTGCACCTCAAACTCTTTGCCAAGTTTGACGAGTACGTTTAAAAGTAGTAGTTTAATTATTGTAGAAATATTTTTTTACACAGATACATGTAAAACAGACAATCATTGAATGGAAATATGATAAATAAATAGCTGCGGTAGACAAATTGCTTCAATATAAATACATATGTGTATATAATTCTAACATAACGTCAACAGATTTATATTTTCAAAAAACATTGAGTTATTAAAAATGTATACCTAGTGGTCAAATTACAAAATTGTGTTTTAGTTGTTTTTTTTTTGTTTGTATCATGCAACTCTGTTGAGGATTATATCTGTTGTAAGATAATTTATAACTATTGACCTTGTTAGTCAATGACCCCGGCTACTGTGTCGCATTCGGTTTTCGGTCGGAATTGGTATTTTAGTTGAAGATATTTGGCATTCAGTTTCATTAAAGTGTGCAAAACTATGATTTACCAAATAAATGATTTGTTGAAATAAAACAACTTACGATATGTATTTTAGTGATCTATACTAATATTATAAAGAGGAAAGATTTGCTTGTTTGTTTGTTTCGAATAGGCTCCGAAACTACTGGACCGATTTGAAAAATTCTTTTTCCATTAGAAGCCGACATTGTCCCTGATGAACATAGGCTACTTTTTTTATTATTTTTTTTTATTTATTTTTTTGGTTTCATGTGTGTTTTAATGTTTCCGAAGCGAAGCGAGGGCGGGTCGCTAGTTGATTATATATTTATACTGATTTTTATTTAACCGCTGATTTACCTTTGAGTCTTTCGAACTGTGCTGTACTTTATCACCGAGGGCTTCTAAAATGTATTGCTTCTCTGTTTCCGAAATACGTGGATGTTGTACTGGCGAATCGTATACCAAGAACCACCAAAAAACGCACCATACAATTGCGATAATACCTGAAAAATACATTAGTTTTATTGTTTGAAAAAGAATTAACCAAAAAAAATCGTTTTGTGAACCGACGATCGTATACCGAAATTTATTAATCCTACCGTTAATATTGCAGATGTATCTTGGTATATATATATCTATATTTATATCTATCATACATATATTTATATATATATAAAGATATCAGATTCTCAATCGTACTTTCATATCAGAAACTTGATTCGATGAGTGATGCAATGAGTCGTAAATTATTATGATTACAATGGTAAGTTGATGCCGTTTCTGTACAAAATCATTGGCAAAAAAAAATTTTTCCTACCTAAGATGATAGCCTTGGGAGGCTATTTCAGCGGAACCTTAACTAGTAGGTGAGCTCACGGTGTTCAAACCTGACGACGTTGCTAACACGAACCCTAGCAAGAGCCGTGCTTCGCAGAATCTACCACCGGATCGGAAACGCGGCCCACTGAGGAGATCCGGCGAGAAACTCAGGGGGCTGTGTCTTAGGGTTAATTTACTCGTCGAGCCCTTCGTCGCAAGCGACGGGTTCGAAGAGAACGGTGACCGGTGCTTGAGGTACCTAAAAGCACCGTTAGTGGATCGGGAGGATACGAAATGACGTGTTTGGGGCGACGTCGACTGCTTTCCATTCTTTCCGCAGGATCGGGAATGCATAGTACATGATTATGTGATCCCACTATATATCCTATTACATAAATTTTGTATAAGTGTTTCAGCACGTTCATCTTCCCATTTAATAAAAACATTTTTCAATTTCAATCAAATTCGGAGTTAAGTTTGAACCCGAATGAAATTGATGGTACACAAATGTAAAAAATGATATTACTTAGCGGCTTCATGGAATTGGTGAAACCTAATAAGTTTTAGTTATTAATTAGACCTCTTATTATCGACTACGAAATTTTAATTGCCAATGAAGACAATCAGAGAACAATATTGACAGTTTTATTATTTATTTATTTCAATAAACTTTGGTCTTCTACATAGGTTTTGTATTAAAGATACAGGTGGTTCAAATGCATTAAAATTAATTCGAAAAATTCGTTCCATTCCAAAGATAAATCTTTGTTATACACTACTAACCATAAAGATATTTTCTGTGCTGTAGTTTTTAATTCCAAATATTTTACACCGGTTTGAGCCCCGTGAGCTCACCTACTAGTTAAGTTTACGCTGAAATAGCCTCTCAAGGCTCAGATTAGGTAGGGGGAAAAAAACAAATATTTTAAGCCTATATAAGGTAAGGAATATTCGTTTTTAACCAAAACGCAACAATTATCGTGAGACTACGTGTTGCGTATTCCAATGAGAAATTCCTTAACACGTCTGATAAGAGTATTGGTTCGTTCGCAGCCATAACAAATTGTAACACCGTAAACACATCACGCGTCAATTAGCTATGTAGAAATCTGGTGTTTTAAACTACCGTAGAATGCAAATAAGTGTAAGAAAGCTAATTTATTTGAACAGTAAATTGTGCTCGGGGAGGTTCAAACGTACTTCAAACGTGTCTATTATTTTAATTTTTATCAGATCAATTGAGAACTGCAAGAAAAAACAATAACTTTACCGAATTAGAGAAAAGTTAAAACCTAAGTGTTTTCTCGTTAACAATTTGAAAAGATGCGAAAAATATGCGAATTCATGACTCACTTAGCATCAAAGAGTGGTTCTAATGTACTTGAAACGTGTCTATTAGTTTAATTTTTATCAGATCAATTGAGAACTGCAAGAAAAAACAATACCTTCACCGAATTAGACAAAAATTTAAAACCTATGTATTTTCTCGTTAACAATTTGAAAAGATGCGAAAAATATGCGAATTCATGACTCATTTAGCATAAAAGAGTGGTTCAAATGTACTTGAAACGTGTCTATTTGTTTAATTTTTATCAGATCAATTAAGAACTGCAAGAAAAAATAATAACTTTACCGAATTAGGGAAAAGTTAAAACCTATATCATTAGATTTTCTCGTTAACAATTTGAAAAGATGCGAAAAATATGCGAATTCATGACTCACTTAGCATCAAACTGTAGATTAAATTACGATAAGCGTCTTTAAAGGTTAAGTCAATTATATTTAAGTCATAACACTAATTCGTGTAATTACAAAAAAAAAATACTTGGCCAAAATTTAAATAAAAGAACAAATATCTCAATCTCTTTTACCTGGTACGTAGAACGCATAGTCCCATCCAAAGTTTTCAATCAATGGTCCTGTGAGTGACCACGTCACTACAGTACCGATGGCTCCGCCCAGCAAACCGCTAACAAACTTGCCCTTCTCGGCCGGCGGGGCCCAGTGAGCAAGCAGAGCATGAAGAGACGGGAACAAAAAACCCTGTTTCAAACAAAACAAATCCCAATAGCGTTTTTCAATATCGTCTTACAAATATTTGATTAAAAAAAAAACACCTATTGTTGAAATAAAAACAAACACAAGAGAAAATTTTCCTTTTTTCTATTTAACAAGACAAATGGTCAAGTCTGAAATTGATGATTTTACTAATTAGTAATCAAAATGACGAGAATAAAATTTCTATGATAATCAAGTAATCAAAATTCCACGAGTCCATTGGTTTATTTAAAATACAAATTTCTGTTTTCAGTCTAATACGTAATCTTTATGATGTAAATTATTTAAAACCGAAACTTCAGTTTCTTTTAGCGATATTTTTGTTTGACTCACTCAATGTATAGCGAAGCGGAATTGATGTATGAAAAAAAAAACAATCAAGGCATAACATTTACGATATGTACCATTCCACCAAGTACCGTACCAAGTAATCATAAATAAACATTAAGTTGGAATATAATTCTAGTGTAATATTGTTGCATCAGCATAAACATTCTTCTGAGTATTTCCGAGATACATTTTCATTCGTAATTAACGTAAAAATTTCTTATACTTATTTAGAAAATTAACTGTTATAGATTAAGAAAGAAAATAATTTCATTATGTTTAAAAGACGTATTATCGTGAACCGAAATGCACAGTTTTTGTATCTAAAAGGAAATTTAGCTGGACTACTGCGACAAAAAAATACAAATATTTCATATTTTTAATACTTAACTTATGCTATTATCAAATCGACTATGGCCGAACAAAAAAAGAAACAGTAAAAGTCCTGACATCTTAAACATAATTAAAAAATACTCTGAAAAAATTACCCCTGCCAGTCCGATTATAAATCGCAGAGCTACCAACACCATGTAATGTAGCCGAGCTGCTTGTGGACTGAGAATCGTCAGTAATGCGCTGATCAGCATCGTGATGAAGACCAGCTTTCTTGGTCCCCAGAATTCAGCTGCAGTTCCACTGAACACGCTAGTGATGGCATAACCCCAGAAGTAGCCGGATAACACGTAGGCCTGTTCTTGTGTTGTCCACGTGAAGGTCACAACGTCTTTTGGCTGCATTGTAAAAACAAAAGACATTAGTTTCGTTACTTAATCAGCTATTTCCTACTTCAGTAAGTTTAATTCATTGAATTTAATTCAGTAATTAAATTCAATGAATTTTTGCAACAAAAAGAAGGTATTATGCTATCAATAAAATTCTAGATTTTATAAACTATTTAAATGCTCCCATTAATAATCCACGGTACACATCAGGGGACACAAATTCAGGAAACCGTACCGTTGATGGGTACGGTCCGAGAATGCACTTTTTACCCTAACTTTTCTCTGGTAGTTAAAGGGCCACCTACGCTATGGCTATGGGTATTTCCACGGAATAGATAAATAAGGTTATAATATATAAGGTATATAGAATATAAGGTTATAATAAATAAGGTTATAATATATATCCTTATTTATCTATTCCGTGGGTATTTCGATCGTCGTACTTTTTTTTCATCTTAAGCAACGAGTTCGAGAGTAGGTTTGGCGGATCCCATAAACCATAAGCCGCCGTCGCCTGAGTGGGATATGTAACTAATGACGGCCACGATAAGAGGGTTATCGTGACTCGCCGCTTTGTCGAAGTAGCGTTCTGATGCTTCCTTTTGATACTTACGAATTGAAGTCGTCTTGATGATAGAATGAATGCATAGTAGGAAATACACAGAGTATAAAATTGTAAAATGATGAACCGTATTCAATTAACCTTTTTTTTTATATTCGTCGTAACTTTCAATAAAACAAGTTCTAACGAACAAAAAAACTATATACCTTAAATCACATTTAAATAATAACATTTAGATGGTTTTTTCCCACGAACATTACACCAGTACATTATACAAAAAAAAAACAATAGAGCGTCGGTTTTTCATCATTTACATTAACCATTTATGTAGGTATAAATAGCGAATGGACTCTATCTCTTTGCAATAAAGTTTTTAAGGAGACCAAGATGGCGTTGTTTGTAGAGATTCTGTAGTTTTACGCATTGGATTGTTTCACGTGATACTTCCACTACATCATATACTTATGATTGTTTCCTTTGGACAGCTCGCCGAGAATAAAAAAGCCTCGTCCTTCCATAAAGCCCTTATCATAATAATTGAATTTAGCGGGATATACGTCAACCTTTTATAAAATACTAGCGACCCGCCCTCGCTTCGCTTCGGAAACATTAAAACACACATGAAACCAAAAAAATAAAATAAAAATTAAAAAAAGTAGCCTATGTTCATCAGGGACAATGTCGGCTTCTAATGGAAAAAGAATTTTTCAAATCGGTCCAGTAGTTTCGGAGCCTATTCGAAACAAACAAACAAACAAATCTTTCCTCTTTATAATATTAGTATAGATATAGATATACTTAAGAAATTGCAAAAAATGTTACAACTATCTTTAAAAAAAAGAATTGAATACGATCATAATTATTTCAGAATTGGCACAAGTCGTTTTGAGGACACACTTGCGTTACGATTCGTATTATGTTATTTCATGTAAAGGAATATAACAATTGTGCAAAGAACTGAGAGGTCTTTCACACCTTATTTCCGACTAAATTTATTTCTACGAACAGTGTTATACACAACAACAAACACTTCGGTAATTGCTGTTATAATGTAGTCTCTATCGACTCTAACCTCTAAGGTTACTCCGATTGCAAATATGTTTACAAGAACTGAAACTATTTTTTTGCGTTTTACCTTAAGCATTTTACGAACACACTTCAAAAGAGGCATCTTTTACTTACAGTTTTAAAATTAAAACACCAAAACACTGTAACGCGAATTACTGAACAATTTTCTTATTATTCATTATCTTGTGCATTTGATTTAAATCTTAATTTATCTTTGTGCGATTTTCAAACCGAATACTTCCATATCAGAAGTAAATAAAGATGTAATTTAATTGCAAACGTACCTGTCGCAGGTTATGCTTCGTCACCACGGTTGTGTTGTACGTCAAGCTGTCATTGGCTAATAAGGCCTTGCATTCGCTTTTCACTCTGCGAACAATCATAACAAACCTCACTCAAATATCTCAATGACTGTTACGTTCGATTACGGGACATTAACATGTTTCGATCGAGATCTTGTTTTGAGTATTCATAAATGATATTGATTAAGTTTACTCAATTACTTTGCGTTTGATAATCCAATACTTTGTATTACGAATGTAGGCATATTTTGGCTGTAGCCACTGATTGTGTCGAATTTTATTATGGCAATACTAGCACTTCCTATTCAAAGTCCCATGGAACTTTACTAATATAACATCTAAACTGCCACCCTAAATTGGCAGTCTTTAAACAACTTAGGTATGTATATTTACATTGTTAACAATATGAGCAACAATTAAATTTAATCTACGTCCTACGTTTGGCAATGTTAAAAAATACTTAGTATATTTTTATTGACACGATATACCTTTCAGTATACAATGTACAATTAATACATACTTATTTCAGTATTTTCTTCGGTTTTCGCGTGTCGTGGACATTGATCAAACTACTTCTACCATCAAATTAGTTTGAATGAAATATTTATTTTCTTAACAAATTTATTTTTTAGTCCCAAATGAGTTTTATAATATGATCATCATCTGTATCAATGTGATACTAAAGAATATCAAATATTCATTTAAGATGTATTTATTATATATTATTATACCCTTAGCTCAGAAAAAATACTGCCTTATACTTTATATACACTAATTTAACATAAAAGAAGAATAATTTGTTCCACTTCACTTTCGTTTAATTTTGTAAGAATTGCCAAACAAAGAACAGGCGGACGGACGATCATGTGTATCAAGCAACAATACTAATTACTTTAAATACACGTAAACAAACATGTCAACGACAATTTTTTTAAATGTTCCTTACACAATGGAATTATAAATGATAATTCTCAGAAAACGTTATTTTGTGAAGTTAAATTATTAGTTATTTGCAGAATAAGATTTTTCGATTGTTAATCATCGATAAATATATCGATGTTGTTAATACTCAAATACTTTGAGTTATTAATTGGTCAAAACATTTATTTGTATTTGCTTTAAAAAGTTCATATTTTTTGGTCATTTCTTATTCATTTTATTCTCAATCATTTTGACACGGGATTCAAGATGAAGAATATAGGTGTATATTTCACAACCAGGAAAACGTTCAAAGCAAATTTGCCACGTGATTGTTTTTAACGGGTAATTAAAATTAAAGAAACCTGGTATTTAAGACGTCACTAACATTCTCTAAAAACCAGTATTCTAAAAAACAAAAGAACAATGTCTAAGTTATTCTTTTTATCAGCAAAAAATCGTATATTTTTTTATTGCGTTGGTCGGGGAACGAATTCGTAGCTCATCTGATGTTAACCAAATGCCACCCACCGTTCAGACATGAATGAAATAATTTAATGCCTCATAAATAGCATCAAAACATAGTTGCGAACTTAATTAAACCATTTTTTTATTATAGTTACTTATTTTTTATCTTTAAATACTGTATATTTTTTTTATTGCTTAGATGGGTGGACGAGCTCACAGCCCACCTGGTGTTAAGTGGTTACTGGAGCCCATAGACATTCACGACGTAAATGCGCTACCCACCTTGAGATATAAGTTTTAAGGTCTCAAGTATAGTTACAACGGCTGCCCCACCCTTCAAACCGAAACGCATTTATATACGCATGTATATTTTATTACACTCTTTAAATAGTATTATAGAGTTAATAATTATAATAATAAAAGACGGGTAAAATAGAATAATAAATTAAAAAATTAAGCCGTTTTAATTAAATCTACGACTCCGGAAAACCGACGGAAATACTACAAAACAAAACTTTAATGCATTAAACCCATACACATTATGATTTTTATTCCTAAAGGCGCACTCAAAATTTTATTTATTAATACAAACAAGCAGTCCTTTAATTAAGTATTCTCTAACAAAACGCTGAGTAAATCTAGAAATCTCTAGCATTCGAGTCTAGTCATAGTTGCGTGTTGCTTTGACCGCATTTTCGTTTTAATCATAATTATTATGGCAAACATAATTCATTTCACTTTTAGTTATTGTTTTTCTTTACAGCTTACATTTTTATGATGGTTTTACAGCTTAATTTTATTTTGTTTTGAATCCCAAATAATTCTTAACACGTATAAATACACACCCGCACCTAATAACTCATTTATAAAATTTGACAGTAGACAGCTACTTAGTTCTGCTCCTGGCATTGCTGTCGTCTATGGGTGACGGTAAGCACTCACCATCAGGTGAGCAGTAGACTCGTCTGTCTACAAGGGTTATAAAGAAAAAACATTGAATCAGTATAAAAGGCTTTTCAATTATATTCTGGAAATTATAAATAATACGTCAAAATTAAAATATAAGGATTATAAATATTGGTTTTTCGTTATAAGATTTTTGATTAACTTATTAATTAATGATTTTCTTAATAACGTCATATTGATATTATTATTTATGAAAATACAAAAAACGAACAAAATGTGGTATTTTATCTCTTTCGTTAACAAAAAAACAATACTATTTTTGTTAGGAAGGCTATCTATTAAGTACTTCAAATCATTTGACTGCACTAGCGGCTCGCCCCGGTTTCACACGATGGAATTAAAACAATCACACATCTATTTTTGTACCCGTGGGACAACCAAGCCTCTTCCTACCGCTGAAGAGTCTTCAAATAAATCGTTTGAAAAATTACATGATATCACGATGCTCAGGACATCCTATGGTGCAAAAAAATAACTATTGATTTTTTTTTATATTTAACTGTCCGATTTTGTTGGAGTTTGAGTTGGAGTTTGTTACCTTATAAAGTGTATTTAATAGATCTATAGACACATGTTTACCAAACAGATTATTAAGCTTAAAAATAAATAAAACTATGAAACTTACGATGTTGTTGTAGATAAATCGGGGACCATGGCGATGATGTTGACGCTCATATTCACCCTCATCATATAATTCACCCAGCACGCGAAGAACATCATCAGTGCAATGTTGAATCGCGCCGGCACCAAATCTGAGAAACACATTATTGAAATCAAACGTTAAGTACTTTTAAATTTTCCGACATACCCGATCCTGTGGACCGAATGGTAAACAGTCGACGTCGCTCTAAAGACGTCATTACGGGACCCGTATTAACGGTACTTTTAGGTACCTCAAGCACCGGTCACCGTCCGCGCCGAACCCATCGCCTGTGACGAAGGGCTCGATGAGTAAATTAACCCATAGAGGCAGCCCACTGAGTTTCTCGCCGGATATTTTCAGTGGGTCGCGTCTCCGATCCGGTGGTAGATTCTGCGAAGTACGGCTCTTGCTATAGGGCCAGTGTTAGCAACACTTAGGGTTTGAGCCCCGAGAGCTCACCTACACGCCAAGGTGAAGCTGAAACAGCCTCTCAAGGCTATCAGCATAGGTAGGGAAAAAAAGTACCACTGTACGGAACAATAATTTTCTTCCTGATTCTTAATTTACCGTATGAATACAAAATTAATAATTAACAGCTGTGCGAATAAAATAATTTACTTGTTGCAGTTTTATTTTAAGTTTATTATTACTTAATCACTCATAATCCTTATTTTACACTTTAACATCTTGTCTAATTCAATATATAATCTCAATCTCCGTTAAAGTTATTTAATTGTCAATAATGATATCAAAAGGTATCACTGTATGCGATATAGAATTTTGCAATTGATTAACCAAATAATATTATTAATGTGAATATTTTTATCTAGATTAAAATAAGTAAGTCATTCGTTTGAGGTAATGTAAAATAAAACTTTGCTTCCATTTTTTGCGCAACACTATTCTCGACAACAGAGCTGCGTACGTCATGATTCGAAAATGCGGCTAGCGAAACGGCTGGTCGAGATGAATAATTAATAAACAACTTTGAACAACTATGTCTATTCCGAAATACGGAAACCGACATGTGCTTTAGCTTCAGTAAATAGATGACGTCGCAATTGTTAAGAATTCGCGACCTCGCGCAAAACCTGTAACTGCACGCGGAAAATAAACTTTCGAATACAATGTCAATATCGACCAGCCAGTTGACAAACATCGGCCACCGGTTCGTTGCACCGTACCTACAGAACGTTTGTTCCATATAACTAAGAGGTACAGAGATTAAAAACAAATTAAAAGAAGCGAAAGCGAAAGGCGATTCTTGACGTATTGAGAGCTCGAACCAGATAAGCGAGAATCAAGACGATGGTGGATTTAATCAAACCAAATCAATATTCGCTATAGGTGACGCACGACAAAATTACTAAATCTAAAATCTAATTACAAGGTCTTAAGTTCAAGATTGAATGGAAGTAAATTAGATGTGTATTCTCAGAAACCGAAAGAATATTATTGCAAAATAACGTGTAAATGTACAGACGTGGCCTCAAGCCTCGGTATCCGACGATGACACCAAGATCAACATCTCACTCCATCACGGTTTCAATGTGTTCTGGGTTCTTGCTTGACCTCAAAACGTCGTAAAGGTCGGTCGATGAATATTTGTTGATCATTGTGTTTGTATATTCGTAGCGTTGTTTCGGAGTAACAATTAATACCTGTTTGACGAGTTGAATTTGAACAGTTACTGCTATGCTTGATGACTTGAAGGTATTCTAGAGATTAATTATTATTCTATTCTAATTGTTTAATTAATGTGAAGAATACGTCAAACAGGTGTTACAATCCCAGTAAAATAACGTTTATTGGTAAACGACTGACTGGGTGGCGCAATAGTTAGCGTCCCTGACTGATGCGCTGAGGGTCGTGGGTTCGATTCCCAAGTTGGGCAAACATTCGTATTACGAACAGGTTTGTTTGCTCTTTATCTGGGTACTCATTGTATATGTTTAAATATCAGTCTCTGGTATCCATAACACAAGGAATCCTAATTTGGGGCCGGGTGACAATGCGTGTTTTTTTTCCTAGCTATTGTTTTTTTTTTTTAGGATTTAAAGATTATTGGTGGCCCGGAGGCCTTTCCAGTTTCATTAGGACAGGTGACAGGGACAAGGTTTGTAAAGTGTCACCTTGTTCCGAAGGGACATTTTGCTCCGCTTACAGATCATGGGTCTACCGAGAATAAACGCGGCACGGTCGCGGACTAATTTTATATGCGGGCGGAATGTCATAGATGCATCCAGGGTGACTCCTAGGTACTTGACCTTTCTGGACCAGGGTATGGGTTGGCTAAAGAGGGTAATAGGGGGTGTGAGATTCCTTCTCCTAATCCGGGAGGAAATCCGCGTGGAGCTTCCCCTCTGAAATAGCATCGCAGTACTTTTCGCTGGGTTGATGTCTATGCACCATTTTCGGAACCACTGTCCTAGGGCTGCGGCTGCGCTCTGAAGTTTCCTCGCGATTAGGGACTTGTTTCTACTCGAATAATAAACAGTCGTGTCGTTGGCGCGAATAAGGCTAACTAGCTATTGTTTATATTTAATTATTTGTTAAAACGAGATTAGTGGTATTAGTAAATGTGTTTTAGTTGCAGTAGTTCCCCCTTCAATTTTTTTATCGTTTCGCTGTAGCAATAGATATGAAGATAGAATCAACTGTTATGAATTCACAACACGTTTTACCAGCAGATCTCAAGATTGTAATTGTAGAAATGTTAGGATAAATGCCTTTGAAACGTCTTATACAACATACAGAATCATAAAATGCTTGTAATTAACGTCGAAATCACATGTAATTAATGTCCAAATTACTGTGATGTAGTAGCTTATTGTAGCCGTGACTGGCGTACAGTGTAAACTTGGTATCACAAAAGGCGTGGTCTCCGACATTGTCACAGAGGATCCATTGTTGTTGTTGTTCCCATTGTGATATCGTTTTGAAGCACTACATCGCATTGTGTGCATAATCGCTGTTTGAGTGAAGATCATAATTTACCATCCGGTTCTACGAATGAATTCCGCAAGATAGCGCACAGTAAATACCTGTGCTTGTAGAGATTGCTTACAAACAAAAAACAAATACTTTGAAATTGTTCTGAAATGACGTTTTGTTCGCACACAATACAACCGTTTGAATATGATAACTAATCCTATTCTAATCTAGGTTACATGTAATAGTGTAATTCAAACGTGTTTATTGTTTGTAACCGGCAACGTGGTCGTAAAGTATTGTAATCCTTGGATAAATTATCAAACGACGTTTAAAGTTATTGAATAAAACCTTTTTTTTTTCAATAACGAATATAAATCATGTCATTAAAACGAGATTTTTTCAAATCAACTCTAATATTATATGTCGAGCAGCTCAGCTACTGTCTCCGACGGTTAATTACATAAATTACGATTCTTTAACGGCAACGATAGGAATGCAATGCGTGCAGTGAGTTTATTTTAACAAATTCAAACTTTAAGCCAGGAACCTTGACGTGTGACGTAAGCAACGCGACTGATATTCAAATTATTATTATGATTATTTTTTCTCGCTTAAGCCGAGGGTCTTGAGAGACCATATCAGCTTAGCCGGGCGAGTAGCATTCAAATGAGACAGGAGACTCCAGTGGTTTGCGTAACGGTAAGTTCGGTAAGTAAGCCTCGCGTACCGGAGTGATATCCACGTTGTGAAAGTACGTGAATGCAGGCGCTAAGGATCCGGCGGCGACCGGCGCCATCCGAGTCGCCTGTCCGGCGCCCGCGACTGGTCATCCCGTTTCTGTTTTATTTTACAGCCGCTGTAAATTTTCTATACCGGTTTTTTTAATGTGCGCTGAATTGCAAACTGCTATCGGCATTAAAATTTCTTTCTTTTCTTTCCTAGCGCGCCTGAGACGTTCGATGCCCTAAGTACAAATTAAGGTTTATAAGATGACAAATACTTTATGGCTGCGCTAAGTGGATTATTTTGACATTCGCCATTAAATACACATCATCTATAAAACATCACATTTCTTGAGATTTTTCAATGTCAATTCGCATACAATACACGTTACGTCCTTGACATTAAACAAGAAATCTTATTGTACTATTTTTGCGTCCACTATTATAAAATACGAATAGTATAGTTGAAGATAACTAAATTCTTGATTGTATTATTTCTATCTCTCACGTATCATTCTCTTACTTATCATACTCTTTCACCTTTATAAATGAAAATTCTTATTTTTTTTATAAATAAAAAGTATATTATGTTTAGATACCGCTTTAAATTTAAGACGCTATTATGGACCAAGAGATCTTGGGTATTGAAGAAGACGCGGTCCCGGAAAACCCTGCCCTCCTCGAGTACTACTACTTTGCCATCATCCATCTGTAGTAGTAAATTCCTCACCTTCTTTTCCTATAACATTTGAGTTGTATAACCAATACAACTCCTGCTTGTCGGACGTTATCCGTTAGGCCACGACGACTTCTTTGCGAAGCACGGCTCTTGTTAGGGTTCGTGTGAGCAGCATCACCAGGTTTGAGCCCAATGAGCACACCTACTAGTTAAGTTTACGCTAACATGGTCTCTCTACACCATCAGTTTAGGTAGGAAAAAAAACCGTCGTACACCACAACATTTGATCGATATTCTGCGATAGCGATGGTACCAAATCCGACAAGTACAATCCGACAAGGGATTTGGTACCATCGCTCTGAGTATTTTCATCGCGAAGCAATCACACATTAAGCCCTATAGTCCATTATAGTGTCTATTCCAATGCATGTTGCAGAATATCGATCAAATGTTGTGGTGTACGACGGTTTTTTTTTCCTACCTAAGTCTCTACCATGTTAGCGTAAACTTAACTAGTAGGTGTGCTCGTTGGGCTCAAACCTGGTGATGCTGCTCACACGAACCCTAACAAGAGCCGTGCTTTGCAAAGAAGTCGTCGTGGCCTAACGGATAACGTCCGGTGCATTCGTGTTGAGTGATGCACCGGTGTTCGAATCCCGCAGGCGGGTAATAATTTTTCTAATGAAATACGTACTCAACAAATTTTAATGTTCACGATTGACTTCCGCGGGGAAGGAATAACATCGTGTAATAAAAATCAAACCCGCAAATTTT